CTCATGATCCAGTAGTTATCTTTTTCTCAGCTTCTTCATTTTCCATCATTTATTCTTCTATATCACTAATTCCCTCTTCTGCCTCATTTTCCTAGCAGTTAGAGCCTCCATTTTTGATTGCATCTCATTAATAGCCTTTTTGATTTGATTTGGTTAGATTTTAGTTCTTTTATTTCTCCAGTTGGTTTCTCTAATATCTTCCATGCTTTTTTCAAGCCCAGCTAGTATCTTTAAAATCATCATTCTGAACTCTATTTCTGACATCTTACTAATGTCCATATTGATTAGGTCCCTGGCAGTCGGTACTGCCTCTTGTTCTTTTTTTTGAGGTGATTTTTTCCATCTTGTCATTTTGTCCAGAGGAGTATAGATGAATGAGAGAACAAAATGCTAACAGGGTAACAATGACCCCAGAATAATATACAGTAAACGAACAGAAGAGACTGGAAACCAGGGGAAAAGAAAGGGAAAGAGAGAAAAAAGAGTAAAAAAAAAAGAAAAAGATAAAAAGAAAGAAACAAAAAAACAGAATATGATCAAATATGATTAGGCTGGTGCATAGATCAGTGCCACACACTAGATTTGGGGTGTATTTTGGTCTGTTAGAAGAAACTACCTCCTAACATTTTAAAGAAAAAAAACTTATATATGTACAAAAATAAGGGTAAATACGATGAAGGGATGGAATATGACTGTAAAGATGAAAAGTATAAAAGATTTTATAATAGGAATTGATAAGATAAGAAGTTGGTTGAAAAAAGAAAGAAGAGGATTTAAAAACAAAAAAGAAAAAGGGAGAGAATGTGATCAGGCAGGAGACTAGAACAAAGCCATACACTAGAGATTTAGGGTATATTTTGGTCTGTTAAAAGACACTGTATCCCAAAATTTTAAAGAGAGAACAACTTATATATATATATACCAAAAATAAGGTTACCTGCTATGAAGGGATAGAATATGACTCTAAAAATGAAAAAATAAAAGATTTTTTTAAAAAAGGGATTGGTAAGATGTTGGTTGAAAAAGGGAAAAAGAAAAATTCAAAAAAAAAAAGAAAAAAATAAAAAAAAATTAACTTTGAAAGACTAAAGAATCATGGGAAAAAAGCCATGAATTCTATGTGCTGTATTCCCCTAGTGCTGGCGTTCTGCCATTCTCATTGATCGGTAAACTTGGTCTTGGCTGGCTGTTCTCGCTGATCTTCTGGGGAGGGGCCTGTTGCCGTGGTTCCCAAATGTCTTTTCCAGAGGCAGAATTGCCCCATCCTTGCCAGGTTGGGTTAAGTAATCTGCTTGGGTTTGCTCTCGGGAGCTTTTGTTCCCTGCAAGCTTTCCATACAGCTTTGGAGGACGAGAGTGAAAATGGCGGCCCCTCAGTGTCTGCCCCGAAAGGGCCAAGAACTTGGCGCCCCACTCCTCAGTGAGCCCCCAGAGAAAAGCAGTTAGTCACTCCCGTCTCCCCGGTCTCCAGCTGCACTCTGTGCTCACCTGGCCTGTGACCGAGCATTTCTATCTCTGGCGCAGGAACCCGTGTGGAGTCTCCAAACCCAGCAGATCCCTGCGGTGTGCTCCCACGCCGCTCCTCCCAGGGGAGGAAGAGGAGTCTCCCCGGATCTGCCATTTGTTGGGTCCCTGCTGGAAGAGCAGTGGCCCGACTATGCCACGGATCATGGTTTATGGCAACCCTGAGCTGAGAGCCCACTCCTCGGTTCCATCTCTGCAGCCGGCTTCCCTACTCCGATGCCTGGGAGCTCTGCTGCACTCAGGCAGCCCCGGTCTTTGTGTGAACCCAAGGGTCCTGAGACCACACTGTCCCAGAGAGGGTTCCACCCCTCGCTGAGCCACTGGAGCAACATCCCTCAGCAGAACCAACTTCTAAAAGTTCTGATTTTGTGCTCCGCTGCTCTATCACTTGCCAGAAGAGGCTGATGGAAGCCCCCTTCCCCGCCGTCTATCCTCCCAAATATCACCTCGGATTCACTTCTCTGCATGTCCTACCTTCCAGAGAGTGGTCACTTTTCTGTTCAGAAAGTTGCTGCTATTCTTTTCTTTGATCTCCTGTTGAGTTCACAGGTGTTGAGAATGGTTTGATCCTTATCTAGCTGAATTCCTGGGACCAGATGAAATTTAGGTCTCCTACTCCTCTGCCATCTTGCTCCTCCCCCTCTGTTTTCTCATTTTTGACATGAAGATAGTGCTTTTGTTTTTTCCACATTCTGAGATCTTTTAGTATAATTTATGTATTTTTTGCTTGGCTTTACATGGGTAGGGCTAGGGTCCTTTCCGTATTTAGTATATGGGCCTCATTGACTAATGCTGGGCATTGGGGAGGATACCTATGTTCAGCGCCCTCGATCTCATGGAGCTCCTTAATTACAAAGGGTGCTTTCATATGTTATTGAGCAGGCACTGCATATCACAAGATATCAAGAGCCCACAAGGGAAAGCCAGATGACCTGATGCTTCTACTTGTCTAAGGATAAACTCTGAGCTTATGCCAAGGTCACTTCTATTTCTGCAGATAATAATCCCATTGCTGATTATGGAATGTTTTGGTTAGGGTAATGGGGAACAGCTAAATTTGGAGGAGTTTAGAAAATGTGGTGATGTAGGGAGGAATTTTTAATTTATATAAACATTTTTTCAAAGTTTACTTAATTAGGATTTAAGATTTATTGATTTCTTCAATAAACATTTATTGAGTGCCTGCTATGTGTGGGACACTGTTCTAGTTGCTGGGATAATAGCAGTGATCAACACAGACAAAAACCCCTGCTCCCATGGAATTTGTATTCCAGTGGAGGGAGAATGAGAACAAACATAACAAAATATGACATGTTACATAGTGATAACTCTGAGAGGTCAAATATAGCAGGGAAGGGAGACAGACAGAAGGTATTGTGATAGGGCTTGCAATTTTAAATGGTGTGATTGCAAATTTACAGAATGGTCAGGGAAGGACCCTCCAAAAAGATGACAGTTGAGCAAAGATCTGAAGAAGGTGAGGGCAGGAAGCCACATGGTTATCTGGGTTCCAGGATGTTCCAGCCAGAAAGAGCAGAAAGGTGGGTACATGCCTGGGGTTTCTGAGGAATAGCACAGAGCCCAATGTGTCCAGAATGGTGTAAAGGAGACAGTAGTAGGAGATAATGTCAGAATAGAAATATGGGGTCAGACCACAGAGCCTAATAGGTAAGGCACTGGTTTTACTCTGTGAGATGGGATGCCATGAAAGGGTTTCAAGTAAAGGAGTGACTTGAAATGAGTTACATTTATAGGATCAATAATGGTCGCTGGGTTGAGAACAGACTGAAAATGTTGACTCCCCTACTTCCAAGATGTTAGAAGAAATCATGAAGTTAATAAAGTTTAATAAGCACCTGTGACTATAAGCCAGACTGGTTTCTGTCCTTTTTGTTTTAATATTTAGAACCTCAGACAGTCATGGCTTATGAGAAAGCTCAGGGATAACATTCTTATCTTCTCACAGTGGAATGAGTAAGTATTTGAATGAATGAACAAAAATTATTGATTGATTGACAACGAAGCAAAAAAAAAAAAAAAAGAATAGAAACAACGGCCAGTATAATTAGTTGATTAAGAAATTCTGAGCATGCTGAATAAATACTATGTATAATGCCTATAGCCTAAATTTTGTACTAGAGAAATATAATGGTTTAGCAAAATATTTACCTGTGTGGTGGCATTTCTTTCCTTTTCCTTTTTACTATGCTCTTCTGCTTCAATATCTACAATATACAAAAAGTTTTATAAAATTGAAGATATTTTCTTTTTAACATTTCACTAAATCATTTCTTACTAAAAAACTTTCTACATAACTTTTAGAACTCTTAAGAATAATAGTGGAAAATAAATTTAAAGTTACCTGTAACATGGTACAAAATAATTCCTTCACAGATAATTTTTCAGATGTAACTTGACACCAGAGACAATCTAAATACTTTAATCAACGATCTTGAAATTGAGTTAATATGAATGAGTTCTACAAATAATAGACTAATTACAATAGCAGAAAACTTTCTGAGCTACAACTTAATTGAAATGTATCCATGAAATAAATGTCATTTATTAATAAAGAATATTAAAACATAGAAGGAATATAATCTTTTATATATTTATACATGGATTCATATGTCAGAGAGATACTAAAAATTAATATAGTTGAATGATACAAATATCTGAGAAATGTAGGCTAGTATGATTACATCAGGTTTTGATATTTGAGAAAATAATTTTCATAAGCATTTTTTAACAAATCTTTTTGTAAAGAATAGAACATACATATTTATACCATATAGAATACATACATAGTCATTGGTATATTTCATTTTTACAAAGACTTAAAGTTTCTTAACTTACATATTCAGAAAAATAAGTCTTTGAAAACCTGATATAATAGGGTGTCACATCATGGCATGTCTACTACATTAGTAGGACTTATAAATTTTCAATTACTAAAAAAATTATTTGATGCACTGTAAAAATGACCCTACATATTTCCTGAAGTAAAACATGCATATATGTGATATGTTCACTTTATAGACTGAAGAATTTGACTCAAGACAAATATGGATAGTCAAAATTTTATATTTCCAAAAGTTGTGAGCTTATACTTTCAAGAGCAGGTTATGAATGTTTTAATGCTATCATTGATATTATATTTATTAATTTAAAATGTTTTATTCTTTCTCTCACTGATGAACTTTAGTATTTGGCCTCACAATTCTATGTCTTTTCTGTTTGCTTTGTAAGCCAGACCTTATAGAACTGATTCCAGTTGTTCGATATTTAGTCCTCTGTCAAACTAGGGAAACAATTGGCAAATTCTAAATAAATATTCAACAACTTAATGGTGACAAATGCATTAATATAAAGCATATGAAAACATTTTAAAAATTATACATATTTCATAAAATTATATATTCTACAGGATTGCTCTTTTCAGGTTCAGGATGTAAAATAAATTATGCCAGAATAAGAATGTTATTGTAAATGAATCTTCCTTTATCCCAAGTTTGCCAAATGATCATTTTGGCGCCATGGATACTCATACTCATTACCAATCAATATAGCGTAATGGTCCACCATGTGGCCTTTGAGTTAAACAGGCCTGTATGCTAGTTCTGATTTTGTATCTGTTTCATTAATTTGTTATGGTAATCTAATAAGATAATCTACGTAAAGTAGTTAGTACAGTACTTAATATATATTTTGTGCTTAATAAATGTAAGCTATACATATAATTATGATTGTGATTATTATAAAGAAGGCCTACTTCCTTAAAGGATTTAAGATGCCTTCAAGATAATAATATATTTAAGTATATGTAAATTAGTATAACATGTAAATTAGTATAATAATATATTTAAATATATGTAAATTAGTATTTTAAAAGGACCATGGTGAAAAAGCATTATTAGAGACTTAATCAGAATTTATTAATGCTTTGTCTATAACATGACTTCTCTCTCAATTAAGGCATTTTCTTCAAAACAAATTACTTAGCCTAATTATATTTGTGTATTAGAAATCAGACAATGTGACTAATATTATAGCTACAGTGAATGTCTAGCAATTTTTAATCTCTATTATCACAACTAGAAAAAGTAAACTGGAAAAAGCAATGTGATTTGATATATTCCCATTGTTATACTCCCCAAAGCACACAGAATAAAATTAGAGTTAGTATGCACAGAAAATACACAGAACAAGAAGTACAAAGTGTCATGTGTATTAAGCAAGAGGAGAAATTATGGATATTAAGTGGAATAACATTTGTATTATACACTGGACCAGAAAATCAAGCTGTCAGTGGCCAGATATTAACATGAAAATTACAAGGCTAAAAGCAATTATCAAAGGTAGGGTAAGTGTAGATAAAAATGTAGATAAAAGAATTAGCGAAATGGGAGGAGGTGTAAGAATGTAACTGAAGGAACAACGTATTTAATAGCTTAAAACATAAAAAGAATATAAAAGTAGTTGGTCATTATTTCCAGCAGAATATGCACAACAACAAAAATATGTGTCTTTTCTAAACTTCAGGCTTTTAGGTTTTCACCTAAAGAAAATGAAGTTTTGATTGGCTACTGGGGAACAGATTCTGCTACCAACAGTATCTTGCACGAGGCTTTCTAGTAGGCTTTTAAATATCAATTGAGGAACACTGGTGATTGCTGGAGACCTGTTCCACTGTTTTATCACTTCCCTCTATGAGTACTGATATCAGAGGTCAGAACCAAGAGCCCAGAGGGTGTTGCCAAGAGCCAAGGAAAATAAAAGATTAGGGAACTACTCCAAGAGAGTAGAACAGGACCCTCATCAAGGAACATTGCCTACCCCTGGAGCAGAGAAAGCTGCCAACATGCACCTGGCTGGATTTCCAAATTGCCATGGACCACTGACTGTTACACATGCCTCATTCCCCTTTTTTAGACAGCGGTGTCTAGTGTAGTGTGGTTTTGTATTTCTCCAATATACACTGGGTATATGAGGGAATGGAGGATAACTTCCCTTTTTATCTCATAGGTGTCTGAAACTAAGAACTAGACTCAAGGAGTCTCACTGACATCTTGACCTGATGCAGATTATGAGATCATAGATTCTGAGCCTAATGCTATGACTGGATGAGTCTCGGGCAATATTAGAACGGGGAGAATCACGTGATGTGAATCACTGGGGCCTGAGAGTAGACTGTGGTAGACTGTAACAATGGTCTCCATAAATCACAACTACCATGTTCATACCCCTTTACAATGTGACTTCGCCTAATTCTCCCATCAAGAGATGGAGACTATTTTCCCCACTCTTTCAATGGGCTGCCCCTGTATCTTGCTTTGACTAACAGAAATGTGGCAGATGACATTGTTCAACTTCCAAGACTAGTCCTTAATCCTTTCAGCCTCTTTTACCCTCTTGGAACAATGCCCTGAGATCACCACACCCTTAAGAAGCCAGGGGTAATAGTGGAGAGAAGAGAGAGAGAGGCCCACCTGTCTCAACTGACCACCAGCTGAGTGAAGCTTCATGAGTGAGTCCAGGTGAGACCAGCAGAAAAATCACCCAGTCAACCCACAGAGAATTATGAGAAACAATAAATCATTGTTTCAAACCACTAAGTTTTGGGTTGTTATGCAGCAGTTGATGACTGAAAACCTGTCTGCTTCTTCAGCCAACTAGGACTCCTTGGATAGAAATCTCAATTCTCAGAAGCTACATTAGAACAGTAAATAATGCCAAAATAAATAATATATAATGTACTCATAGCATTGAGAGAAGATTTAGAAGAAAGTAATATCCCAGAATATTTATTGTCTTGCTGACAATTCTTTTCAGATCCACTTTCTCATGAAAGTCTTGATATACACTAACTCCTGGCTTTACCCTTCATTTCCCCAATGTGGCTCATGTCCTTTCTTTCCAAGACATGTTTCATCTTCCTTTGAATGAACATTGGGACCTGATTAATGTGACTAAGATTCTGGGGGGAAAAAAAAAAGCAGCACAAAACTCCCAAAACACACAAAAAACCGCTGTGCTTTATGAAGGAATTTGCCTGGGGAGTTATAGGCAAATAAAATGTTTGCTTGTTTGTTCAAGCAACATTTACAGTGGAACTAAACAGAAGTATTTTGTTGATTCTCCCATTCTAGTTCTCTAAAATGGTGCTTCATTCTTCATTACATGTAGTAATGGTATAAAAAATACTATTTGTTCCTTTCTGACCTTTCTTTCAGACTCTGTGCAGTACATTGGCTTCTGTGACTTTACACTATCCTGGATATCCTTCTTCCTTTCAAACCTCTATTTTAGAGTTCCTCTTTGGTTTTTATGTCTGCTAATGATTGTGTATTTCTCAATGCTCAGTCCTCACCTCTTCTTTTTGGCATGACCTAAGGGTTGAGCTGGGTCAGCAAGGATTTTGGAACGGACAGATGGTGAATGCAGGAGGTCAGGAACTACAAAAGGATAATGTACTCATTCCTGAACAGACAGCCACTTAAGAAGTAAAGCTCTGAGAATTAAACTGTAATGACGGGAAAGCAGAATAACACAAGTCATAGGAGAACCTACAGAAGGAATCCAGGTTGGCAGAGGTGAGACAAGCGATGAGAGACAAACCTGGCAACAATAATGGTTCCAAAAACTGGGAATAAAATCATGGGAGCAGGTCAGGCCAGGGATAGGGGTGTGTAGATGAATCTAAGTCACCAGAAGTGGGTACACAATTGGGGAGATGTAGGAGTGAGAAGAGTGAGAGTTTGCACCCACAAGGTTCCATAGAAAATTCTGCCAAAGGGATTTCTGTAGGGGTGAGTTTTCAGTTTCCTGTGGAAAACACAGCATAAATCAGACCCTCATCATTTCATGCCTGCATTCTGATAACAGCCTCCTAACAGATTTAATCATGATTGCTCTAATTTTAATCTAATTTACATCTACCCTCAGAATAATTTTCCCTGAGTACTGTTTCCAGCAAGGCACACATCTGCTTAAAAACCCGTAAGTCCCTGTTGCTTACCGTATAAACACTAATTCCCTATGTTGACTTCCAGTTTCCTCTTCAGTCAGGCTTAAGTCCACATTTAGAAGTATTTTTCATATATCAGTAATCTGTTTCACTAGTTACTAATTACTATTCGAAAGTTTTCTTCTTTCCTTTTTAAATTTTAACAGTTTCTATTGAATGGACTAGATGTTATCTATTAAAATTTCCAATAAGAAACAA